TTTTTTGGGCTCCAAAATCACTGCAGATGGTGACTGCAGCCATGAAATTAAAAGATGCTTACTCCTTGGAATGAAAGTTATGACCAACCTAGATAGCATATTAAAAAGCAGAGACATTACTTTGCCAACAAAGTCCGTCTAGTCAAGGCTATGGTTTTTCCATTGGTCACGTATGGATGTGAGAATTGGACTGTGAAGAAGGCTGAGCGCTGAAGAATTGATGCTTTTGAACTGTGGTGTTGGAGAAGACTCTTGAGAATCCCTTGGACTGCAAGGAGGTCCAACCAGTCCATCCTAAAGGAGATCAGTCCTGGGTGTTCATTGGAAGGACTGAGGCTGAAGCTGAAACTGCAATACTTTGGCCACCTCATGCGAAGAGTTGATTCATTGGAAAAGACCCTGATGCTGGGAGGGATTGGGGGCAGGAGAAGAAGGGCATGACAGAGGATGAGATGGCTGGATGGCATCAGTGACTCGATGGACCTGGGTTTGAATAAATTCTGGGAGCTGGTGATGGACAGGGAGGCCTGGCGTGCTGCAATTTGTGGGGTCGCAGAGAGTTGGACACGACTGAGCGGCTGAACTGAACTGATAGTGACTCCACGGGCTTCCCTGGTGGCTCAGTGGTAAAGAATGCACCTGCCAGTGCAGGAGACACGGGTTCAATGCTGGGGTCAGGAAAACCCCCTGGAGGAGGAAATGGCAGCCTGTTCCAATATTCCTGCCTGGGAAATACTCCTGAGAGGAGCCTGGCGGGCTGTAGTCCATGAGGTCATAAAAGAGGCGGACATGACTGAGCAACTGAGCACGCACGCATAGTCTCTCCAAAGTTAATTAATATTCTGAGGAGCTGCCGGGCGGTCTTCCAAAACGGCTGCCCCATTTTTCGCATTCCCCGAGCCCCACAGGAGGGCTCCAGCTTCCCCTCCTTGCCAGCGCGTGTTGCTGTCTGCACACTCCGGTCATTGCCCGGCTCTGAAGGCTTTTCAGCTTTCCTTTCCATGTAGCTGCCCCAACTCCCATCTCCTCCAAGGGAGGGGTGGCCCCCTCGCCAGCACACACTCACACACCCACACTCACACCCACACACGTGTGCTCAGGCCTCCAGCCCCGGCGGCCGAGGCACACAAGCGTGCACCTTGGACCCTTGAAAGGCTGGCCTGGATTAGAATCCTCCCGCCGCCTGACCCGCCGTGTGAGCTCAGGCAGGTGGCTCGGCCTCTCTGGGCCCCCTGTGCCCGCCCCTGGGGTGGGGAGAGTCTGAGGGACCCCCTCCAGCATCGTCAGTAATTGCCACCTACCAGGAGTTGCTTGAGGGGTGAGCGGCTTCCTTCCTGTAAAGTGTAACGATCTGGTATCCTGTGTCCTGTAATTAAGTAATGCTTAATGACTGCCCCCACGGGGCCTTTCCTCCTGCTGCTCCTGGGGCCCTTCGCTGGTCATTATCACCTCCTCCCAGTTAATCCCCAGCTGCCGCCACCAATTTGCGCCCTCCGCCCCCGCCTTGCTCCTCTTCACTGCCCCCCACCTCATGCCACCCTACCCCAGCCACCTCCAGCTTTTTGGGGACACACTCTTGCCTTGTTGCTTGGGCTGCTCACAGGTGAGGGGACAGGAAGTCCTGCTCTTGCTGCCCCCCCCCACCCAATGCACCCACCGTCTTATTCTCTCCAACAGCCCCCTACTCCAGGAAGCCCACCGCGATTGCCCGGGACACGAGCCCATGTCCCCAGGTCTCTGGATTGAATTTAGCTGGAAAGGGTCCTTGGGGGTCCTTCCACCACCCCGCCTCCCCACCAGACAACACCTCAGCGGCCGCAGCAGGAGCCTGGGGGGGGGGTGCGGGGGCCAGGCAGAGGGTGACACACGATCCAGCCTGGGTTGTAGCCTTTCTCTGGGCGGGCAGCCAAGGAGGCCACGGAGAGGAAGAGAGAGTGTTTGCAAACAGGGTGGCTGCCAAGAAGGGGCCGGGGTGAGGGCGGGGGGAGGTGTGAAGGAGAGGGGGGCCCAGCGGTGACTGGCAGCCACGCCTGGGACTCTGCTTCCCCTGCTGCACACACGCACGCACACACACACGGGTCCAGTGTCTGCACACAGCCAGGTGCATTCCACTCTCGACCCTCACACGCGGTCACACAATTCCCTGAGCACACGGGGGCTCGCAGATTCACAAAACACGCAACTCCTGTCGTCCATGTGGAGTGAGACACACTCAGTCCTCACGTCTCTCTGTCACTCACACACACACCATTATCTGCACACACACGGGCTCAGATGGGTGCTCATGGACACACAAATACACACAAGTTTCAGGTAGGAACTTGAGAAATGCACGCTCCAGTTCCTGCCCGAAAACAGCAAGGCACTTTCCAGCTCCGGTGTTTACTCTCTCTCCTTCTCACACATGTCTGTGCAGAGCAGGTGCAAACACACTCACCCCCAGGGACACTCAGAAACGCACACGCAGAGCCAGCATCTCGTGGACCACCAGAGGGACCGCTGTCTGCCTTTCTTCCTGCCTCTCTCTGTCTGTCGTCCTCTGTCTGTCTCTCCCTTTCTCTTTGTCTCTGCCTCTCTTCCCTCCCTTCTCTGTCTCTCCTCCACAACATGCCCTTCAGGGCACACTTACATGCACGCACACACACAGACAGACACACATGCCGGCCTTCTCTGTCCCAGGCTGACAGACCAACAGCATCACAGGGACCTAAGTACCAGAAGGACTTTATTTGCAGAGAGCCGCTGGAGTGAGAAAGACAAAAACGCGTCACTAACAGGGCGCAGACCCAACTAGTGGGACAAGGGGCAGAGGGAGTGAGGCGGGGAGTGGAGGGCGCCCAGCGAGCGGAGAGACACGGGCAGGACCACAAGTGTGCGCAGGAGGGCCGTGCAAAACCGGAGGGATGGGCCATGCACTCTATCTGTGGGCCGCCTGCACCGCACGCTCGCCCCTGTGCGTGGGCTTCACCGGAGGGGACGCCGGCGAGACCCCGGGCCTCCGGGAGCCCACACTCCGGCAGAAGACACAGAACAACCGGGACAGGTAATGCAGGCAGCCATGTGGCTGGACGGGAAGGAGTGTCACAGAGGAAGGGCAGCGGCGAGGGGCGGGGGCGGCCTGTCTGATTTGGGGTTGGGGCCGTGGGTTCCCCAGCCCAGGAAGGTGGACGGATGCGGACTGACACGGGGCCACTCAGAGACCCCCGGGCGAGGCCGCAGACAGATGGTGAGGACAGGAGGCAGACAGACGGCAGAGCAGCCAAGAGCTGCCCCCCAAAGCGGAGGGGGCACCCCCGCCCCGCCCTCCTCACCCCGAGTCCTCGTCCTCCCCGAGGTACACCTCCTCAGCCTCCCCCTCCCGCTGCCTCCAGGGCCGCCCCAGGAAGCCCCGGACCGAGCTCACGGGGCTCCTCCTCCGCGGCTGGGGCTCCAGCAGCCCCCACAGCAGGGTGTCGGCCGTGGGCGTCAGGCCAAGCCAGGGCCGAGGCCGGTGGTCGGGCTGGCCCGAGGCCTGCCAGGCGACAAAATCCTCGTAGAAGGGGTCGGCCTCGGCCAGCGGCTGGTCCCAGGGGAAGTAGCCGGTGAGAAGGCAGAAGAGCAGGACGCCCAGCGCCCAGGCGTCCAGGGCGGGCTGGATAGGCAGCCCCTCAGGAAGGGGCGGGGGCGCGCAGAGCTCGGGGGCCGTGTAGGGGATGGGGGCCCCGGCCAGGCGCAGCAGGGTCCCCCGGGGCCGCGTGTGCCCGAAGTCCGCCAGCTTGACCCGCCGGCAGTCGGGGTCGCACACCAGCACGTTCTCAGGCTTGAGGTCCCTGTACACCAGGCCGAGGGAGTGGACATGCTCCAGGGCCGAGGCCAGCTGGGCCGCGCAGCGCTGGGCAGCCGGCTGCGGGAGGCCCACCTGCGGGAACAGGCGTCAGGAACCAGGCCCAGGGCTTGTCCTCAGCCCCGGGGACAACCGTCGGGGTCCCACCTCCCCAGCCCACCAACCAGGGCTGGCCCTGGAGCTTGTCCTTAGCCTCTGAGAGCAGGCCCAGGGCGACAGAGGCCTGGTTGGCCCTGATGAGCCCCGTGGGCCTGGGGTGAGCCTGTGAGGTTGGCTCCACATTGCCCCTGTGACAGCCGTGGACTCGGAGGAGCGTGTCCATCCCACCAGACCTGCGGGCACGGTGGGGCCCCTGCAGGGTGACCCGCATCAGGCTGCCCTGACTCCTGAGGCCCAGGCTGGGTGGCGCGTCCGCGCCAGACACCACCCCCACCAGCTCCGGGACGACCCACCTTGGGGCGGATGTAGGCGATGAGATCGCCGTGCAGCACCGGCTCGGTCAGGAAGCTGTAGGAGTCGGCCGACTCCAGGCCGACGCCGCAGGCCGCCACGATGGCCGCGTGGGAGCCCAGGGAGAGGCCCACGCAGAACTCGTAGAGGAAGCCGCGCAGAGTGGTGGAGGCCTTCGGCAGCTGCTTCAGGGCCAGCACCGTGCCTGGGGGGCGGCGGCGGCGAGGGGGGCGTGAGCCCGGGCCCGCCCCGCTCCTCCGCCCCGTCCGCCCCGCCCCTGCCCCCCGCCGAAAGGAGCCTGGCCACCCACACCCCCGGGGGTGCGGAAAATGCTGTGTGCGCCTTGCCGCTCAGTCCTGTCCGACCTTGGCGACCCCGTGGACTGTAGCCCGCCAGGCTCCTCTGTCCACGGGATTCTGCAGGCAAGAATACTGGAGTGGGACTTCCCTGTGGTCCCATGGTGAAGACTCCACTCTCCCACTGCAGAGGGCCTGCCTTAGGTCTCCGGTCAGGAACTAGATTGCATGTGCTGCAGCTCAGACCCAGTGCGGTCAAATAAAGAAAGAAATATTAAAAAATTCTTTACCAGTTTAGCTACCAGGGAAGCCCAGTGATAATAATAGCATTTAATGCTTCCCAGGGGGCACTAGTGGTAAAGAATCCGCTTGCAATGCAGGAGAGGAGGTTTGATCCCTGGGCGGGGAAGATCTCCTGGAGGAGGAAATGGCAGCCCACTCCAGTGTTCTTGCCTGGAGAATCCGCGGACAGAGGGCCCTGGAGAATCCGCGGACAGAGGGCCCTGGAGGGCGGCAGTCCACGGGGTCGCAGAGAGGCAGTGTGTGGTGGGGGAGGGTCGACTCCTTGCCTGAAATACCTGAGTGCAGCCCCTTCGTGTGTCAGCAGTGCCCTGAATTCCTGCCAGCTGTCAGCACTCGCCGCCTCCCATGTCGAGGACCGGTTCTCCCCTCTGGGGGCAGGTACACCTTTGCGCCCCAGCTCTGCCCGGCCCTGGGGGAGGGCATTGAGCCGGCCTCCAGGTGGGCAAGGCCCTCTCATGGAGCCCCTGGTTCCAGTTATCGCTCGTGTCCCCGGAGTTCTGTGATGACCCAGGTCTGTATCTCTGCATCTCTCTCTTATGAGCTGCCTGGCATCCCTCCTCACTGCCTCCCGCAAAATTCACATGTTAAAGTAGTCCTTACGCCCATTTTCACAGAACATGACTGTATCTGGTGACGGCGCTTTTGTTTTTGTTTTGGCAGCATGGCTTGTGGGGTCTTAGTCCCCCCGGACCAGGGAGTGAACTGGGGCCCTTGGCAGTGAAAGCGCGGAGCCCTGAGCCCTGGACCGCCAGAGAGTGCCCTGGAGATGCGGTTGTGAAAGAGATACAGTGAGGCCACTGGGGGTGTGGGGGAGTGGTCCCTAGTTCCAGTGTGACTGCTGTCCTTCCGAGAAGTGGAAGCTTGGACGCAGACATGCAGGCAGGCGTGAGGACACGGGGAGAAGCTTGGCCATCTGCAAGCCGAGAAGGGAGGCCTCAGGAGAAGCCCGCACTGCTGGCACCCGGGTCCCTGTCCCCCGCTTCTAGAACTGTGATCCCCCCAGTCTGCGGCCCTTTGTGATCAGCTGACAACTGCAAAGAACGGACACACCCTGTCGTGCAGGGGGCTCCCTGGAGGCAGGGCTGGTGCAGGTTTTTCTCAGGGGGCCCAGCTGTGTCCCATCCCCAGTCAGGGCTGAGCCCTGCAGCCTCCTTGGACGCTGACCAGCAGGCTGGGGCCGGGGACCGTGTCCTGCACACCCGCCCTGTGCTGGCCTCGCTGAGTGCCCGGCAGACAGGGCGTCTCTCATCGCCCCCACGGTGACCGCTGAGCCGGCCCCATGTGAGGGCCACGGGGAGGGGGACACCGGGGGCTGTGACTTTCCCCCTATTGTCCCCGGCAACCAGAGCCACTGACATCTCCTCTGGGAATCTCGGTTCTCTCAGAGAAGGGGTCATCACCCCCGTGTTCAGAGGAGGAGGCTGAGGTTCAGAGAGGGCCAGGCCGTTACCAAAAACACACCGCCTGGAAAGGGCAGAGGTGGGACTGGCTGGGTTTGCAGACCCCCTGCCCCTGTGCCCTGGCTCCAGGCCCTGGTACCTTCCTGACAGTGGGTGACTGCAGACCACCCGCCCTGTGCCCTGCCCCCAGGCCCCCGCTACCTTCCTGCCGGTGGGTGACCAGTGAGACACGGCCGAAGCGGCCCTGGCCCAGGGCACGCACGTGCTCGTAGAGCTCGTCCACCTCGGCCCGAACCAGGCTCTGGGCGCTCAGTGCCATCCTGGCCTCCAGCGCCCGGGCGGCCTCCTGGCCCTGCCGCAGCTCCTCTGCCGTGAGGCCCCCCAGGCCCTCCTCCTCCGCCTGGCTCTCCGTGTGCTCCCCATGCGCGGCCTCCATGTGCTCCGAGTGCGATGCTGCCCCGGGCATCCCTGCAGGGGCAGAGGAGAGGGCGCCCAGACTCAGCACTGCCAGACCCGGGCCAGGGACGGGGAAGGCCTGGGGGCCTGGAGTCCTGGGTCTGAGGGAGGAGGGGCTGAGGTCACGACCCCCAGGTCCGAGAAGGAGGTGGCAGGTCACTATCTCGGGCCCTCGTGACTCGGTCTCCCTCCTTGTCAGGGGCGTCTCTGGGGCAGCAGACCCTTTGCTAGGTGGGGTGAGGGCAAGCCTGAGGCCCCGACGTGCCCGCCCTGCCCCCAGTGCCCTGCGCCACCTGATGGCCTGAGGATGAAAGATGAACCAGATGACTCGAGACACCCCCCCCCATCCTGTTTCCAAAGCAAACAGACTTGGGCCCTGGGGGTGGACGAGGAGCCTCGTCTCCTAAGAGTGAACAGGTGCTTGGCCCCCAGGGGCTGCAGGGGGTGGGCTGCACACTCCAGGCCTGGGCACGCCGGGGCCCCAGTGGGAGGGAGCTCTTGGGACGGGGTGTCCAGCCTTGGGGTGGTCTGCAGTCCAGTGCTCACAGCCCCAGTCCCTCCTCCTCTCTCAGACCCAGGTCTCCAGGCCCCCAGCCCCTCGTCCCTCAACCCCGGGGGTCCAGGCTCCCAGCTGACCCCTCTCCTGAGATCTGACGCAACTCACATATCTTGGGGTCCCCCACCCCAGACTCTGTGTCCCCCACGCTCAAGCACTCTGCAGTCTGAGGGTCTGTAATGAGCCGCTGATCCCCGAAGGACTCAGTGCTCCGACCACCTGCCCGGCTTCTCTCTCAGGCACTGCCCACCTCGGGCCGTTTGACCCCTGCCTCCTCCTGACCTGGGCGCCAACCTGCAGACCTCAGCTTCTCCCAGGCTTGCCTGACCCTTCGGCTGCCCGCTGTGGTCAGTGCCCAGCACTTGGAGCCCAGACCAGCAGAGGGCTGCCCGCAGCAGGACCCGCCCCCACCTAGGGGGTCAGAGCCCCGCCCCCGGCCTCGCCCCTGGACTCACCAGGGGGAGGGCGACACCATGCGTTGTGGCCCAGAACTGCTGCAGCCAGACCGTCCCGACCCAGGGACTCTCCTCCTCCCCAGAGCCAAGAGCCCAGTCCCCACACCCTCCTCAGAGCCAGGGTCCAGACCCCAGACCCGGGATCCAGACGCCCAGCCCCTCCCCCCTCAGACCCGGGGGTCCAGACCCCAGCCTCTCCCTCAGACCCGGGGGTCCAGACCCCTGTAAAGGATGAAACTGTTCGTCCAGCCTGGCCCGCCGTGACCGCCCCCGGCTGCCCCTCAGTGCCCCATGACGGGTCAGACGCAAGTGTTTGGTGAGGGGAGTCCGGGGGAGGTGGCACTGGGGTCTGCCGGGGAAAGGATGACACAACAGGATTCCAGAACGATGCAGTGAGGGATGACCTCAGACGCGGGCAAAGGGGAGCAGGTGGTGCGGCAACTGGGCCGGAGGGCCTCGGGGAAGTGCCGGGCGGAGGGGCGTCCCCGGCCCAAGGCTACAGACTGCAAGGTGGGGGTGCAGGCAGGGACCCCCAGGGCTGAGGGAGGGGGCTTGGGGGGCTGCACACCCCTGCCCAGGTTTAGAGCCAGATGACCGATGCCAACTCACTTGCTTCTTTTTAAGTAAGCTTTTGATTTCAGAATCATTTTCATTGTTTTTGTCTTTATTGAATTTGTCACCATGTTGCTTCTGTTTTATGTGTTGGTTTTTTGGCTCTGAGGCATGCGGGATCTTTGCTCCCCAACCAGGGATTGAACCTGCACCTCCTGTGTTGGGAGGCGGACCTCTGGACCTCCAGGGAAGTCCCATATCCCAGAATCACTTCTGGATGCACAAGACAGCTGCTTTGAGCTCCCACGTCGCTTCCCCCAGCTCACCACCAGGTGAGTCCTCACCGACCACACGTCCATTTGTCCAAAGGAAGATAGGAACTGTCAGTCAAATGGTAGACTGGTCCCAGGTCCACAGCAGCCTTTATCTGTCCCAGGATTCAGTCCCAGACAGCCCGTTGTACGTGGGGAGCTCACATGGTTGAATCTAGGAAGCATTCAGATCAGGCTTCCAGCAGCTGTGACTGTGCTGGGTACAGGGGACGCTGCCTCAGGTCCAGTGCCACCCGCTGCCTGCGGGTCTGTGTACTGGGCTGTGGGGGGTGCATGGGGCCGGCCAGGGGTCTGGCAGAGATCCTTGCAGACCAGTCGTGGTCCTCGCTGTGGACGGGACTGCATGCTCTCGGGGAGCTGGCCTAGGAGACTCTTGGGACAGGAGGAGAAACCAAAAGGATGCGCAGGTGAGAAGGATCAGGTGCATCCCGGACAGCCCGAGAGGGGAGATGTGAAGTGGGGGCACAGGTCACTGTGCCATGGACTCCAGGCCAGCGGGAGCGGCCCCTGGGGGGCTCTGCTTCCTGGAGGCCTGGAGTTGGAAAGGAGGCATTCTCGGAGAATGCTGGGTGTGCAAAAGTCTGTAGGCAGGAGAAAGAGTGTGTATGTGTGTATCCATGTGTGCACATTACGTGCTCGTGTGCCCACACATGTGCATGTATTTGTGTGTGCATGCACATGTGTGCACGTGTGTGCATCTGTGCATCTGTGGACATGTGTGCATGTGTGCCTGGGTGTGCATATATGTTGATTTAGGTCCAGAAAGGATGAGTGACTCCTGTAATATCACCCAGAGCCCAGGAAAGTGGAAGAGATGGCAGGTGAGGGTTCCATGGTATTGGAAAGCCGTAGTCAGCGGGCATCCACTAAGGTCTTAGACGAGAGGAGTGACCGCTCAGAGGTCCACAGGCACCGAACATGTCCCCACGGGGCAGAAACGCATGTGCGGGAGACATGGCACCTCCTCTCAGGAAGACGAGACAGAACAGAAGGGAGAGAGAGGGTCCTTGAGGGAGGAGGGGCCAGGAGCCTGGACCCCTGGGTCTGAAGGGTGAGGGACTGATGGCCTGGACTCCTGGTCTAAGAGGGGAAGGGATGGGGGCCTGGACCCCTGGGTCTGAGGGAGGAGGGGCTGGGGGGTCTGGACCCCAGGGTCTGAGGGAGGCGGGGCTGGGGGTCTGGACCCCCGGGTCTGAAGGGTGAGGGGCTGATGGCCTGGACTCCTGGTCTAAGAGGGGAAGGGATGGGGGACTGGACCCCCGGGTCTGAAGGGTGAGGGGCTGATGGCCTGGACTCCTGGTCTAAGAGGGGAAGGGATGGGGGACTGGACCCCCGGGTCTGAGGGAGGCGGGGCTGGGGGTCTGGACCCCCAGGTCTGAAGGGTGAGGGGCTGATGGCCTGGACTCCTGGTCTAAGAGGGGAAGGGATGGGGGCCTGGACCCCCAGGTCTGAGGGAGGCGGGGCTGGGGGTCTGGACCCCCGGGTCTGAAGGAGGAGGGGCTGGGGGTTCCAGACCCCTGGGTCATCAGCTGGGAGGGGAGTCGTGCATCTGAGCACAGCCTTGGGTTGGGAGAGGCGCAGGGCGCTCTCAGTTCTCCAGGGCACAGCTGTCTTCCTGCAGGTGGCCGTGGGCTCTGGGGGCGGGGCCTCTGGCCCGGACTCTGGCCACCTGTCCTGGTCACCTGGTTAGGGCTCTCCCCCATCTGTGCCCGTCCTCCCCCCGCTGTCACTGTCCTCCTCCTCTGACCACTCTTCCAGGCTTGCTGCCCCTTCTTCCTCCTCCTCCTCCCCACCCTCGCTGGACATGCTCCCCAAGCCCCCGGCTCTCTCTTTGTTCCCCTTTAACCCCCAGTCATCTCCTAGGAAGTCCAGGACGACCAGCGGGGGGCTCCTGGTCTCAGGATCCAGATCCAGGAGCCCCTGGAACAGGGCCAGAGCGGGGGGCGCAAACTGGTCCCAGGGGGGTGGTGGCTGAGGCGGCTGGGGCCTGGTGGTCATCCAGCCTGCAAAGACCTCAAAGTCAGGGTCAGGGGCCAGCGCCACGTCCCAGGGGAAGCAGGCGGTGGCCGCGCAGAAGAGAAGCACGCCCAGCCCCCAGGAGTCCAGGGCAGGCCGCAGGGGCAGGGTGTCGGGGGGCAGCAGGACGCAGAGCTCGGGGGGCGCAGAGGGCAGGGGCCCTGGGGGTGCCGGGGTGGGGCTGCCCTCGGGCCGGGTTAGACCCAGGTCCCCCAGGGCCACGCGGCTGCACACAGGGTCGAAGACCAGCACGTTGTCGGGCTTCACGTCTGCGTGCACCAGCCCCCGGCCGTGGAGGAAGTCCAGGGCTCCGGCGAGCTGGGCCACCACCCGCTTCACCAGTAGCTCTGGGAGGCCCTGGGGTCAAAGGCAGAGGGCAAATGTCACCCTCCGTTCCTCCTCTCTGCTGCTTCCTGGGGTTCAGGAGCCCGAATCCCAGGACCACTGGCTACCAGGAGAGTCCCTGACACATCTCCCAACACCTTCTCCAGGTCATCCCCAACCAGCAGCTCTCCCTGTAGACCCACCCTCAAACGTTTTCCTCACCAGGATCCCACATCTCACCAGAAGCTCTCTAACTTCCATCGAACCTTGTCCTGACACTCCTTACATTGCTTATCTTCACTCAACAGGCCACGGAGATCTCCAATGAAACCCTAAATCTCACACTTAACTAATGAATTTAACTAATCTTAGTCCTGTACTAATTGAGGTCCCATCTCCAACTCAGACCCAGTTCGAAAGTCCCAGCATTTGCTTCATTAATCAATTGATAGATCTGTCCATTCAGCTAGCCAGGCAGTGAGACAGCAATCCATCCATCCTAACCCCAACCTGTCATCTATTGAACAGTATATACAGCAGTGTTCCACTCAGTATCCATTCCATCAGCTAGTCAGCAGCTCAATAATTTTTCCAGTTATTTAGTATCTGATAGCCATTCATACATTCCTCCATCCTTCAATCCATCCATCCATGCACCCACTCATCCACCCATCTATCCATCCACCTTTCCTTTCTTTCATCCATCCCTCTGCCCATTTGTCAATCCATCCTTCAACCCACCCATCCATCCATCCACCACCCGACCAACCATCCACTCATCCACTCATCCACCCATCCATCCATCCATCCACTCACCCATCCACGCACCCATATATCCATCCACTCATCTACCCATCCCTCCATCCACCCATCCACCCATTTGTCAATCCATCCTTCAACCCACCCATCCATCCATCCACCACCCAACCAACCATCCATCCATCCACTCATCCACCCACCCATACGTCCATCCACTCATCCACCTATCCATCCATCCACCCATCCCTTCATACACCTATCCATCCATCCACCCATCCATTCATCCACCCATCCATCCATCCACCCATCCACCCACTCATCCACCCACCATCCATCCACCCATCCATCATCCACTCATCCACCCATCCATCCATCTACCCATCCACTCATCTACCCATCCATCCATCCACTCATCCACCTATCCATCCATCCACCCATCCCTTCATCTACCTATCCATCCATCCACCCATCCATCCATCCACCCATTCACCCACCCATCCATCTACCCATTCATGCATTCACCCATCCATCCATCACCCACCCACGCATCCACCCATCCATCCATCCACCAACCCACCCATCCATCCATCCATCCACCCATCCACCCACCCATCCATCCATCTATCCACCCATCCACCCAGCCACCCAGCCACCCATCCATCTGTCCCTCCACCCTTCCTTCCATCCATCCCACTCTTTTCCTCCTTATTTCCCTTGCTTCCTTCTTTCCTCCTCTTTATCCACAAACTTATCTCAAATCCAAAGTTTATTCCTAAAGATGAAAGTGGAAGTGTAAGTTGGTTAGTCACGTCCGACTCTTTGTGACCCCATGGACTGTAGCCCACCAGGCTCCTCTGTCTATGGGATTCTCCAGGTTAACAATACTGGAGTGGGTTGCCATTTCCTTCTCCAGGGGATCTTCCCCAACCAGGGGTCAAACCCAGGTCTCCTGCATTACAGGCAGATGTTTACTATCTGAGCCACCTGGGAAGCTATCTCTAAAGATGACCCCACCTTAACGTCACACTCAAGTACCCCTAGAAAGTCATGGATTCAGTCCTGACCTCTTCTTTCTAGAAAGAACTCCATTACAGTCCTTCTCCAACTCCCCCTATACACAGACACACCCTCAGCCATCTCTGAAGCCCCACCCCTGGGCTTCTCCACACTCACTCTCTCATCCGTCCTAAGCTCAGCTCATCCATCTCCACCCTCACCCCTCCCAGTCTCACTGCCATTAACATCCCATCTCTGCCTCTGTCCTCACCCTCTCATCAGACCTGATCTATCCTCTACCCCAATCCCAGCCTCTCTGTCCAGGCGTTTGTGTTCGGATGGTTGGATGGATCAGAGTTGGGGTTAGTCATGGAACTGCGCTGAGAAAGAGAAAGAAGGAGGTGGCCTGGAGGAGGGTATGGCGACCCACTTCGGTGTTGAGGTCGCAGAGAGTTGGCTGCGACTGAGCAGCTAACGCCCTTAGGGGCTTAATGCGGCGCTCCCTCTGGGGGTCAGGGTGGGGGACAGGCCTGCAGGAGGGCCGACGTCAGACCAGGAGGAGACCCCGCCTGCCCGCCTCACCCGTTCCTGCAGCATCCCACTGAGGTCTCCACAGGGTGCGTACTCCTGGGCGAAGACGAAGTGTCGCGGGGTCTCCAGCGGTCCCGCCAGCGTCTGGAGCAGGCCTGGATGTGACGACACACAGCGGCCCACACAGAACTCTCTCAGGAAGGTGGTTCTGAAGACCGAGGCCCGCGGGAGGAGCTTCAGAGCCACGGCCCGACCTGCCAGGGGGCGGGGGCAGAGGACAAGTCAGGGCGCCCTGAGCATCAGACCCGGGGGTTTGACCTCTGCGTGCCTCTCCTTTCTCCATCTGTTAAGGGGGAGGTTGGAGGACCCCTTCCCTGGGGACGCTCTCTGCTCTGTCTCAGATTGCTGTGTGACCCTGCACCACTGCCTGACCCTCTCTGGACCTCCGTCTCCTCTTGCGTGAACTGGGGGATGTGGCCACTGGACTAGCGATCCTAGTGACCTCAGGCAAGCCTCTCCCCCTCTCTGGGTGAGAGCTCCAGTTCCTTGGGCGATCATGAAGCTCTTGACATTCTGAGAGCCCCATCGGGAGGGGTCCTGGTCAGCTCCCCAAAGGGATGCTTCCCATCGAGGTGGCTACCGCGGACCCTAAGAGGGGTCTGTCCTGGGGTCTGCCCTTCGATGGCCACACTCACCCCCTTGGCGAGGCCGGGCAAGCAGCACATGGCCGTAGGAGCCGGAGCCGAGCCTTCGGATGAGGCGGTACCGGGCTCGCAGACTCCGCACGGGGGTCACCCTGGCTGCCGTCAGGTCCACGAGCCTCTGCAGGGCCGTGGCTGTGTCCTCCTGCAGGAGAGGGACGGGGCGGGGGGTGGGGGGTCAGTCATGGCGGCGGGCCGAGCCGGGGGGCCTGGGGGCCCGGGGTCACTGTCCCCAGCGAGGAGGGTGAGTCACAGTGACTCACCCCGCCTCGGGCCACCTGTTTTCAGGCCTTGGCTGGGTCACGGGTGATTGTCTCGGTGGCGCTGCCCACGGCCATCTGGGGCTCCCCACAGAAGCCCCCAGCCTCACTTGGGGCCGCCTCCTCCCCAGCCCGCGCCCCCCACCCCGCCCGCCTCTCTCTCCATCCACCTCTCTTCCTGTGTCTCCTGCCCCTCTATCTGGGGACGTGTCTCCCGGGGCCCCAGTCTCGCTGTGTCTCCTCGGGCTCCCCGGGTCTGGGATGTCTCTCTGTGTCTGGCTCCCCGGCCCTCCCCCATCCCTCCTCTCTCCATTATCTCCTGCCTCTCACCTCCGGATCCCCATCTTCCTGCTTCTCGGGGTCCCTGAGCTCCATCTCAGGGTCGGGCCAGCACCCCTGGTCTGGGCTCCCCGAAAAACCACCCACCCACTGAGCACCGCTGCAGCCCTGAGGGGAGCCCAGGCCAGGGGGCTGGTCTGCAGGGCCCACTTCCGTGTCGCCCCACGTCTGGGCCAGGAGACGGCCCTGAGCGGCCACCCCGTCTCCCTGGACCTCCCTGGCCTGGCCCAGCCCGAGTCCGAGCGCCCGAGGTCTCGGGGTCTCCCTGCCCGTCTGCTGGTCCCCGGGCCCCTGCTCTTGTCCCCACTGCAGCCGCCTGTCCGTCTGTCTTGGGAGGCCCTGTCTGTCCCCCGCTCTGGCCGGCCTCCCGTCCGTCTCCCTGCCGTCTTTGTTTCTGCTTTTGTCCCTCCCTTTCTCCGGCCGGGACAGCTCAGAGACATCCCGTCCCCCCACACCTCCCCGCCCCGCGGCCCCCCTCCCTCCCCCGTCCAAACTTAGACCAGCCTGGACTCTGGGCTCTGCTCCCAGGACAGAGGGGACAAAACATAGCCTGAACCCCAAGGGCCGGAGGGCAGCGGGCAGTGGGGAGACGGGTGCTCTGTGCCCTGTACCTGGGAGGGGGCCCCGGGCCCTGTGCATCCAGCCTCCCCGCGGTCTCCGGGGGCCGGGAGCCCACTCCCAGAGCCCCTTCACATAAGAGCCCCCACGGCCGCCCTGAGCACTGGACGCAGGCCCCCGGCCCCTCCTCGCTCAGGGCCAGGAGCTCTCAGCTGCTGATGGAGACCCTGGTTGGGGGCAGGCTTCTCTGCTGGACACAGCAATGCTCTGCGCCCCACTCCCAGATCGGGCCTTTACACTGCGTCCTCCCGGGCGCCCCCAGAACGGCGGGGCCTTAGCCCCAGTTTACAGAGCAGGAAACTGAGGTTCTGAGCAGCGAGCGGGTCAGAGGGGAGGAGGTGTGGGGCGGCCGGGCCAGCCCTGTGTGACTCAGCCTGGTTGCTTTCCACTACTACTACAACCTGCTATTAATAAAAGACGCGGCTTCTGGAAGGGTCCCCGGAAGCCGGCTCGCGTGTTGGCCCTGGGAGCCTGCATGGGTTGAGGCGGGGCACGGACGGAGCTGCCTTTGCTCTTTGACTTTCCGGGGCTTGTGGAAAGTTGTGAGCACGGATCAGAGCAAGAAAAGGCTGCGCCCGGGGTCCACTGACCAGATTTCACACATGTTCCTTTTTTTATTTTTTTTGCCCTACTGGCTTGCTCTCTTTTCTGTTGGGGCGATGGCGTGTTTTAAAGTAAATTGCAGCCCATGGAAATCTTCTGGGGTAAAATGAGGCGCCGTCTGGTGTTTGATTTCAAATACTCCTGCTTGGAAAATCACGACTCCAGTGAGGGCATGGGATTGGCACACAGCTGCCCACATGTTGCTGAGAACAAGGACATGTCTTTACTTTTAGTTTTGGTTCTGCTGGAAATTTTCCCTCATAAAAAGCTAAAAGCGATTCAGTAGGCTTCAGACATCAGGACAAACTGTGCCTCAGGTTTCTGTCTCCCATCAAAGGAAGGAAAATTTCCAGCTCAGTGGCTAAACTTTTTTTCAATTGCAAACGGTAATTCCTTACGATGAGCTGACACCCAGTCTGTGTTCCACATCCCCCCGTTTCCCCATACTCGCCTCCTGTGGCTGCTTTAGTGGGGTCGGTACTCGGTGTCTAAACAGCTTTGGGGAAGCTTTGCAACCTCTATCTTTCCTAGTATTTGAATTTCCCTTGTGGCATCACCGACTCAACAGACGTGAATCTGTGCAAACTCTGAGAGACAGTGAAGGACTGGGAAGCCGGGCGAGCTGCAGTCCAGGGGGTCGCAAAGAGTCCGACACGACTGAGCGACTGAACAACAGCAACACAGCATCTTACTGATTCAAAAACTAGAATTAAACAATGCGGTGGAGGCTTTTCACCCAATGCTGATCGGGCGGCAGGCCCTCCCTGGCTCGTTGTTTGCTTTTTGTTCAAGACTTCAGAGAGTCCTCCCTACAAGTCTTCGCTGAATAAAGTGATGGCTTCCAATTTACAGATGGGGAAACTGAGGCAGGGACCAGCAGGTGGCGACAGGCAGCGCTAGGGTCCCCAAGTCTCTGGGGACTCCAAGCTGCCCTCTGTGCCGCCCCCTACCATGCAGGCTGGGGCTCAGCCCCTGCCCTGGGGGCCTGGGGCGGCTGTGAGTGTGTGGGGAGGGCCGTGGGGGAGCTGAGGCCTGCAGGCCAGCTGCTGGGCGGGAGCTGAGAGGTCGGGCTGCAGAGCTGGCCACCTGGGCCCTGGGGGGAGGGTCAGAGGGGCCGCTGCAGGCCTCCGCCCTCCCCAGCACCCCCGCCTCCCCGCCAGAGGCTCACCGATGATCCGCGGAGCTTTGCACCTCCCCTTTTAGCAACACTGCCCCATGGGGTCACCCGGAGTGACCTGGAGAGGCAGGTGTGCCGGGGGAGGGGGTGCTCCGGCCCTGGCCCCGGGGTGCACACACCCCTGGGTGAAGCTAGGCTCTGGGCCCGCCCCCCTCCCGTGGCCCTCGCTCTCCAGCTCAGGGGCTCCTCTGGTGACCTCCTCCTGCCTCTGACACCCCGGCCAAGTGCCCAGCTGCCTCCCTGCCTCATTTCCTCCTTAAGAAACAGGAGCAATTGCTGGTCCTACTCAGAGTGTTACTGTTAAAGAAACAGCTAACATTTGAAGCATGCATTCCTAGTGTATGTTGATTGTATCTAACACAGTAATAAATGCACTATGCATGATCAGATATTATATACACTGTGTCTGGAGAAGGGAATGACAACCCACCCCAGGATTCTCACCTGGAGAATCCCTGTGGACAGAGGAGCCTAGCAGGCTGTAGTCCCTGGGGTCACAGAGAGTCAGACACGACCGAGCAACTTAACACACACATGCAGTTTGTACTGTCATATACGTTACATCCAGCATTAATTTCTATGCTATTTATATTTGATATCTTTTTCCAAATAGAGATCATGTAAAGACATAAAGAATTAACTTACACTTCAAAATAAAAAAGAAAGAAAGGAAAAAGGGAATTCCTTGGCGGTCCAGTGGTTAGGACTCTGTGCTTTCACCACCAAGGGCCCAGGTTTGATCCCTGGTTGGGGAACTAAGATCCCACAAGCCACACAGCATGGTCAAAAAAAAGAAAAAATTGTACTTCAAAGGTTGAGCAGTTGATAGCTTAGCTGCCCATCCACCAACTCCCCACCATCCTTGGGCCAAAAAGAAAAAAAAAAGAGAGAGAGATAAAAAGAAAAAAAAAAGCCCTACCATTAAATCAGTGTGTTTCCTCTGTAACGAGTAAGATTCTAAACTAATTGGGAAGCCTTGACTGTTGGCGGTTATCATGGTGCCTCGTGAGGACTGGGCTCCCCGCCTGCCTGCCTGTGCTCATGACACTCATGTTTCTCTCAGGCACACCCACGGGGTGGGTGGCCTTATTCCTACATACACTGGATTTTTGTTGTTGTTGTTGTCACTCAGTCATGCCTGACTCTTAGTGACCCCGTGGACTGCAGCACACTTCCCTGTCCTTCACCATCTCCTGGAGCTTGCTCAAACTCATGTCCGTCGAGTCGGTGATGCCATCCAACCATCTCATCCTCTGTCATCCCTTTCTCCTCCTGCCTTCCCTCTTTCCCAACATCAGGGTCTTTTCCAGTGAGTTGGCTCTTCACATCAGTTGGCCAAAATATTGGAGCTTCAGTTTCAGCACATACACTGAATAAACACTATTAAATACAATAATGGATGAAGACGCTAGACGTAGGACCTAGAAGAGAGTAATTGCTTAGCCATATGATTTCTGGCAACAGACACACCGGTGCAGTTACAGCAGGCCAGATACTGTTCTGGAGGCTTTATCCCCATCCAGGAGTTTCACAGAACCCTCACCATCGACCTGTGATCTTAGTTCTAGTATTTGTCAAAGCCACACATGCCCCCTCACTGTCCGTCTGACCAGGTCACATAGCAGCACAAAACTTCGCTGTGGTTCCTTGTGCAAAAGAATATCTCAGGCACACATGCCTAAAATATCCCAAAAAAGCATAACTAGTGTCTCCCTGCCCAGAAGTGTGCAGCTGAAGAAATACAACTTGTCAAATACAATTGGAACATTCTGTGTACTTACCCTTCTCCAAATCCTCCCCTTCCATCCCAGAAGTAACTACCATCCCTAAGGAGATGTTTGTTATTCTTCATGTTAAAAAAGAAAATAGTTTTGCTACATATATATGAATCCCTGACTGCCCTAGAGTATCGCCTTGCATGTTTTTAATGTTGTATAAATAGTATCAGGTCCCTGACCTTCCGTAGCTTGCTTTTGTCCTCACCCGCTCAACCCTGTTTGTGCGTTTCTTCCGTGTTGTTACAGGGACTTCAGGTTCCTTTCTTTGCAAAGATGTTGAAGAGTCTAGTGTGTGGACATGCTGTGCTTTACATATGCATTCTTCCGAGCAAAGACATTTTCTTTTTCTCCCCTATGGTGCTCTTACAGGCAGGGGTGCAAAAGACATTCTTATGTGGGTTGTCTGATGCAAAGTGGTACACTTCATGGGGCACTGGCCTCAAAGTGGACTTTATGGGTGGAAAGAAGAACGTGCAGCTAAATTCTTAGGTATTGCCACACAGCTCTCTCCAAGGTGGCCATATCTGACGTTGCTTTTCCAATTTTTATTTTTGAGTTCACGGGGCCCTTGGAGAGTGTGAAGAAAGCTGCAGGGACTTGCACTGATACGCAGGCCACCAGCTGTGTGGGGCTCTTTGGGACTTGAAACGTGGCCAGGCCAAATTGAGATGTGCTGTGAATACAAAATAGACCCCGGCTTTCAAAGACTTAGCACGAAAAAGAGCATGTAAGCTATCCGTGGGTGACATTTCTATTAATTACATGATGACATGATAATGTTTTGGATATAGAGTCGAGCTCATCATTGGGTGGATTCCTGTATTGGCCAATTTGCCTATCCACTGAGATGTCACTGTAACCCCCGGCAGGCATGCGCAGAGCGGCCAGCACCTCTGTCTCTGACACGTGTTCCCAGCTAAGGGTGAACAAGC